TGTTTTGACTTTCTTAGAAAATATGAAATTGTAACTTTAAAGCTCTATCCGTTAGGAATTTAACATAGACGAAAATGGGTCTAAGGCAGTGGTTCTCAACCTTTTTTTTGCCAACGGCACACCTTGAAACACATGAAAAAATAGCGGCATGCCTGGCTAAATGTATATGAAAAATATTTGAATTTTGCAAAATAAAAACATTGCAAGTCAGACGGCATACAACAGTAGACAGAGACTAGTCATAGACACATAGAATGACTCAAACTAAATAAAGAAAAACACAGCTATGAACTTAACAGTAGACACCAAAGAATACTCAATAAGGATCATGTGGTTTTTTGCATTTTCTTAATTGTGCCGTTCAAAATTCCGCGGCACACTTAAGAAGATCTGTGCCGTGGCACACAGGTTGAGAATCACTGGTCTAAGGGTACCTATTGGTGTCAAAAGAATGTGTACAAAGTGATTTTTATTCAAGTTTTAAAAACAATTGTAATTTCTAATCAATTATGTTCGTGAAATACTGAACAGTCCAAATAGAAAGGCAGTCGTTTACGCCTGCTTGGTCTATTCCACACGTTTTTTATTTTGTCGTTTGTGAATCAGCAACTACTAATTAATTCTGCATTTCCTTGTAAGATATGTTTTCTTTGTTGATTATACAAATGGCGCCCGAAACCATAGAATACACGACCTATGTACTGATTTTAAAATGTTCATTGTGTCTTAAATATTTATTGGTGGGTGCGGGGCGAATAGTTCACGCGTGTGCGTTGGGTCAGAAGGTCTGTCATTGAAGTTTCAATTCCCCGCTTGTACGTGACAAAGAGTATGGTTGCCTGTCCAACCTCGTGGGTTTTCCCAGGGTCCCCCGGTTTGCTCCCACGCCTAACGACCCCGGGCGAATTATTGAAATAAAATTAAATCAGTAACCAGCTTCGTGTCGAGTGGATGCTAATGGTAACTAATTACCAAGCTAATGTGGAAATGTCCTGTTTTTTTCGGGGTTTATTTTTTCTGTTGAGAATGGGGGGGGGGGGGTCTAAGGTGCTATCCACAATCCCACCCCACAATGATTGCAATCTGATTAAAACACAGATCATATTTCGTTTCGTTTTTATAGTTCAAAATTTCGTTTTACTTGCCTTTACTACACTTGGATCTGGAAGAGTTGTTATTTAACTCCTGTTCTGAATAGTGTCAGGGATAAGCCAATGAAACGGTCTGTCATGGCGAGCTTTAGGCGTGTTTTGCACGGAACTGTGGGTAATCCACTAGTAACATCAATGCTGATTGGTTAATCAAATGTCTGACATCATAGGGTCATAAGTCGGTCTTTTGACCCCCTGACGTGACCTATCGCTATAACTTGTCAGATCTTCATGTAGTGTAGGCCATCGAAAGTATAAAAAAAACGAAACGAAATATGCATCTGTATTTTAATAAGATTGCAATGATTGTCAACAAAGTACTGAGCGCCCACGGTAGAACATAACATCGTATTGCCTTATTGCCAATATAGTTGTTCGCCGATCGTTATCTCGTCGGAAAACAGTTTTATTCACTTGACATAAAGTTCATGTTATATATATTATGATTGTTATTGATTTTTCTATTAAAGTTTTGTGAACCTCAGGAGGGTCAGTGGCTCAACTGGGACACTTGTCCAGAGGTCTGCAGCTTAGAGGGGGCCGGAGGCATGCCAAGTAATGTTGTTGTTTTTTTTCAAATGTTGGTATAAATTTATTAAAAGAATAACCGTTACTTGATCGTTAAGTAGAAGAAAACCGGTGACTTTTCTGAAAAGTGGGTAGGCCTACCTAGTTGTGTGGATAGGATTAGAATCGAATTCTGTCAGTCCAACTATTTTGTAAAAATTGGTGAATTAAAAACTATAAGCCGTGGGTCCTCTGGGCCCCGGCAGGTAATCGAGGCCTTGCCCGGGCGTGTAGAACGCTGTACAATGATTGTGAGCGCTGCCACACGTGATCAAGTACGCCGTTGTCGACAGCTTTTGGTGGACTGACTGGTATCCCATCATTAAAAACGAAAACGAAAGCAAAACGTATACATGTACTTTCGTCTTCGTTTCGCAGTAAATTATTTTTCCATTAGCAGACCGTTTTCCGACCAATGATAGCATGTTTTTTTTGTGTTTCCAGGTTTTTACTCGCACAAAACGTATTGTTATTTTCACAGTTCGTTTTACCTGATCGGTGGGGGAGTAGTTAATTAACTATTAATCACGGGATTAGCGGAGGTGCTACGAAGTACGACAAGATTGTATCATTCAACAATGGCCGTTGAATAAGCGCTATTTTTTAAAATTTATTTATAAAATAGTGACCGCTGGCCGCGTTAGAGGAGTGGCCGTTGATTAAAGAGATGAAACAATAGAATTTCTACGGGGGGAGGGGGGGGGGTATTCATCGTGACCGCTTACAAGGAGATGTCGCTGAATGGGAGTGGCTGCTCAAGCAGATTCTACTATGTATTTAGTATGTTATATGCTGTGTTTAAAAAATCTCCGTTTCTGTGTTTTGGCAAAATGATCGACTCCCATTTACTCTGGACAGATATACGCCAAAATGACGCTATAAATGAAATGAAATAAAATGGGGTTTAACGTCCTACTGTTCTTCTCCCACTGAGCTAATGAAGACAGGTGATGCTATAAGGGAGCATGTATCTTTCAAATATTTTCGAGCCAAAAGAAGGGAGAGGCCCCCCACACCCCCTTGTCGAGTTGCGTGTCCCAGGGCCAGGAGGGCATTGTCGCGGGCCTTGTTGCAGGCCATGGCTATAACACTAAGCAACCTGAAGGAGGGGGGGTCTCCGCCTGAGAAAATTTTGAAAAATTGAGACAACACCCTGGCATTTGAGGTCATTGCTGGGAGCAAGTTCCTTCTGAACGAGAGGACCAGAAATGGGAGTCAATTGGACAGAATCTCGAGATCAGCCTGTCAACCTGTGGCCCCCACGACCTAGTAGGTGGGCGGTTCACTATAACCGTGAGTAAAATCTGAACGGCGGACCCACCCTGCTTGCTAGCTACTTTTTAATTTTCGTACGTTAGTTACTACGCCGTGAATATGATAGTGCTGAGATAGTATAAGACAGACACAGAGGAGTGGAAAAATGATGCCATAATTGAATCGAGCGCCGTAGCCGCGAAAATTTTCAGATAGCAATGTAGCTAGCTAGGTCTATAATATGTAACAGAGATTTTAATTGTTTGGGACTGGGCCTGAAAATATTAGTCAATTTCATGGAAAATGGGAGCCAATTATCGAGAACAAGAGGATAAGATATGGGACAGAATCTTGCGGCCCGCCTGTTTTGTGCGAGTTGAAATAACATTTTCTACAGCCTGTCGCTCCACGGCTCACTCACTTAAAACTGGGCATTTCACTGTAATAGTGATGCGATGACAGAGGAGTGGGAGAACGATGACATAGTGGAATTGAGCGCCTATGGTGCGAAGCGAAGAAACTTCAGATATTATGTAACTGAGATTTTCATTTTTTGTGCGTGGGTCTGATTGGACTTTCTCTCACGGTGGCGGGAACTTTATTGGTTATAAATATTGTACCAAGGGAGGCAACTCCAATATAATTCTTTAACGAGAAAATAAAAATGATGACTTTTTTGATAATATGCATTTCGATTTTATTATCTGTTTACGATTTTCTAGTATTATACAAACACATGTTTAGATTCATATCTTTTTTTTTTTTTTTTTTTGTATAACCAACAAATGCTAATAGGCTGGCGGTTATTTTCCGACCAGGTTTCACCTTGTAAGTCATTCAGGACTGTGGGCCTGGCAATGAAATGAAATGGGGTTTAACGTCCTACTTTTCTGCTCCACCTGGGCCAATAAAGACAGGCATACGCCATACAAAAACCTTCTAGTCGTTCGGATGGGACGAAAAACCGAGATTGGCGTGGCAGGGGGGGGGGGGTAGTGGGGACGGGCATGTATAATTTTATTTCAATAATACACTTGCGCGTAGAGGTCTTTAGCAATTGGAAGTAATCGGGGACCCGGAAAAACCCCAAGGTTTGACTGACGAACCTACTGCACAAATCGAAATAGAAGTGTCGGTTTTGTTGGGGTTTTTTGTCTTCAGTACATTCATTGATCTATTGTAATAAATTTTGTATATCACATAAAAATTTGTCTAATAAAAAAAATGTTGTTTGGTTTAATTTGGGTTTCACTAGTTCTGTAAAAAGTTCTGTATAATTTATTTTCAGGATATGTTATTTTATTTTTAAAAAAAATAATAATTTGAAAATGCATGCAAAACAACATAATTTTAGTCCTCTCGATCGTTCCACGGTCTAGCTGTATTTATTCGCAAAACAAAAACACTAGTGTATGACATCAGAAGCAAGAGATTAACCTACTTGTTGTGTATTCACAAATCTGGTGTTCATAGTAAAACCAGCAGTACAATAATTCGAGTATTTTATCAATGGAATTACTCGCGAAAACACAGACCCCAAACACCTGCGGTATTTTTACCGCTCTGAGATTCATGCCTTTTAGCCAATCAGCTATTGAATATCAAACAGCTCTTGTGGTATTAGCCAATCAAATGGCAGAATGCAGGTCTCGTGCTTGGGTTATTACCACCGGCCCCGTGTCCTAATTTAGTAAATTTTCGGGAGAAAATATCTTTCAAGAAAATAAATAAATAAATTTTCAACTACCACAGTGCTAAAGAAGGATATGTTTTCTATATATGATAAATATTTGAAGTAGATTCATAACTCCTAACTACTTTAAATTTAACGTTTTTAAAGGCCACTTCAACATGGCTAGAGTTACTATATTTAGAAATTCTAGCTTGTTTCGACGCTGTGATTGGGGTCGCTCGTTTTACCTCAAGGGCTGTCATGGCTAGCTTGTCGGCACTACTTCATGCTACCACATCTAGTAGTAATGTATTTCAAGTTTTTACCCCACGTTTGGGGTCTCTTAATCGTTTTATTATGAATACAAAATAGACACAAAATGGCTGGAAAGGAATTCTTAAGACAGCTGAACATGTGCAATGGCCATACTCCAAGATCCATTTTCTTCGCGGAGGCATGTGTGAAATAAATACGCGTTATTTTTAATAGGATATTTTAACTTAATATCGTCTCTAAAATTAATTTAATGAATCAGAATGTGAAATCTAGGCCATTCTGTCTCTAAATATGCAATAATGTCGGATTGCGTTCAGTATAGGCTTTATACACGGGTCAAGCAAATACGACACGACCAAATATCTCCATATAGTACCTTTTGTTTGGTGCGTCTCAATAAATAATCTGCATAGTTTTCACGCAGGATATGGTCGGCCATTTTGTTGTGGCCTTTAAGATGAAAAACATTAAACTTGTCGTAAATTCTAGGCGATATCTATGAAAAATGCGAAAGGTAAGGACATATTTTGAAACCTGGATGTGTGGGAAAGCCGCGGTGTGATATTATTAGGCGCATCGTGACCTGGGTTTTCTGGGATAACACGTCAAACAGAGAGCTGAATTTTGCGTGATTTCACGCATTCACGGCTTCAAAAAATACCAAATAAATGCTTTTTAATTGCCCCAAATTTCCACCAATCTGTCTCTTTCTATAATATCTATCAAGAATAAACAGTTCCTAAAAGAGATATTGTGTATTTAAATCAAATAAATTGTCCTAAATCATAATAAATTGAAATATTTATTGGGATGAAAATTTGACGGAAATGGAGTCGGTTTGTTTACAAAACAAAAATCCATTTTATTTTGCCCCAAATGCTACAATTCTGTTAAATGTTTGAGTCCTTTTGTACAATTGAATACATGGGATCAAACTAGCCAAGAATTCAAACGATAAAATGATCGTTTTCATCGAAAATATTGCCGAAAAAAAGACATATTATCAAACAATATTTTAATTTAATTCACTTCCGCCTTTTCTCATCAATTCAAGTTTCAGATCCAGGCCCATGGAAAGCTTTGTTTACTTGCTAATTCGGTAGATCCATCAAAGATCATCAATTCTTGATCCACTGGTGTAGTTATAAAAAAATTTTCTGCATAAATGAGATCTTGATTTTGGTTTATTTTGTAGAAAACTCCATCCCTTTTATTAAAGATTGAAACGAATGTCAGAAATTTTAGGAATGTCCCAAGTTTTCAATTTGACAGTTTACTATGAGTAGATGCAAATCCAACTAGAACTGATCCGGTGGATTTTAATGAGATAATAATTTTTGTAAAAAATGTTGTAATTGCTTTTTTAGGCTTAATTTGAAAGTAAAAGGCATGCAAATGTAGCACTTGTGTGTTTTTTTTCTGAGACCACATACCCTTGGATTGTTCGATCCAGCTTGTTTTGTGAATATGATTCCGTCTTCCGTACCTCCTCCCAATGTCAAGGAGGATAGTGAACATTGGTGAAAATAAACAAGTAATATATCATGCAAAAACTGTTGAAAAATTAGAATATGACATATTTTATTACAAACTAAATAGCGCCTGTAGCATGACAAGAATATAACTTTCGGCTTATGGTTAAATATCTGCAGTCATCCGGGTAAACATGGAAATCAAGGAGAGAGCACTCCTTAATAAGTTAAAATGAGGTATTTATTTGACTTCATGCTGCATATTCTATCAGGAATTGGCTAAAGGTGGGGCTAGGGGGTGGGGGGGTGTTACAAAATCATTGGTCACATCAAATGCTGATTTTACATACAGTATACAGTATGGTCGGTACTTTATAAGTTTATTCATGACAATAATTCTTATTTATTATTCAAAATAAAATGCTACAGTATTCAAATATTTTATACAGTTCAAATTATAAAATTTGGGATTGGTCATTTAGAACAATATCAGATTTATTGAAATTGGGAATATCTTGCTTTCAGTAATAGGCCTATTTATTTTTAGTTGATTTCATTGAATTAATAAGCTAAATGTAATATATAGATAAAATAAGCTTATACAACACCAAAATAGCAATACCAGAAAATGTGTTTGGGTAATATGGCATGAATTGAATTTAAATGTGTGAGCACTACTTCATGGTGTTGGCTGTTAAAGTTTGTCAGGATTTTCCCAAGTGGTTCCCCCTTGTCAGTGGTGCAGAACGGAGGGCCCGGCAAGTGACAATGTACATATATAGTCGTTTGAATTGGGTAAAAAAAAAACTATGTCCCATACCATATACATGTATGGTTGGCACGTAAAAGAAACCTTATGACAGTTTGAATTCAAAATAAGAGTAGGCCATAGTGCCACTGTCTGGGCAAAATTTCCCTCACAGCACACTATATATGCCAGTCTACATTAGCCCAGTCGGTGTAGAACAGGAAGACGTTAAACCACATTTCATTTCAGTACATAATGGTATGACAAACTATTTGAATTTTGAAATTTGTATGGGCACTATTTGATGATTTTATTTTTCTGATTTCAGGTTGGGTGTTATTTTTATGCAAACGAGCGTTAACCAATGTGTCAGTGTACAACGTGTACACATGCCATGTTTGAAGGGAAGAACATTCATTATTCCAGCGTAGATAATAAACCATTATGCTCCTTTAGCACAAAAGTCTGTAATCAGCGGCGATTAAATGGCTACGCTTTCTGTGTCCGCCACATCCTGGAGGATTTTACGGCACCCTTCAAGAGGTGTGGTTATGTGGCCAAGTCGAGTAATCAGATGTGCACACAGCCCATACCTAAAAATGAAGAAAGAATGTAAGTTTTTATCGCTAAACAAAACAACGTATATAATGTCAATGATATGCACGTTAAAGAACCTTGGGGAAGAGTAGATAGTAATGCTGCCATCTGGACCAAATTCTCCTAACCACACATTAAATGTACACACATGACATTTGTTGGTCTCAAAATGACCAAAGTATTATGTTGACATTGACAAATCATTGTAGTAAATGTTGAAATAATAAGATACACAATAGGATTATTTGGAAGTGATCCTGTGGGGAATTTTACTGTAATTAATTTAAAATATATTGATAACCACCATGTTTGTTATGACATTAGATAGGATATGAAAGATGGCATCTGGCATGGAGATCCCTGCATTGGCCGTGAAAGTTCATCCAGATTTTCCGGCGTGGTTCCCTCATGTCAGTCATGTAGGATGGAGGGCCTGACAAGGACAGTTGTCTAGTCATTCAGATGGTACGAAAAACTGAGATCTTATGTACACATTGGCATGCACGTAAAAGATCCCTTGACAGTTGGAATTCGATATACATGTAAGAGTAGGCCATAGTGCCGCTGTCCAGGCAAAATTTCCCTCATAGCACACTGTATGGCATAAGTCGGAGCAGAACAGTAGGACGTTAAACTCCATGTCATTTCATTTCATTTATCTGGCATGGATACACTAAATAACCTACGTTGGTTACAATATTAGATATTGCATCTAGGAAGTGAACCTAAAATAGTAATAATGTACAATACTGATGGCATTAAGTATGGGTTAATGCTTGAAAGCGAGACATTAAGTAATATATTGATACTGCACGAGGAGTTAGTCAAGTGTTGTTTCAATATACATGTATTACACAATGTCTTTAGCTCGAGACCATTAAACAACTTAAAATACAAACACTATCCCGCACATGCTATCCAATGAAATACTTCACGTGAGTCCAATATTTTATCTAGTATAGATGATGTATGATTGGCAAGTTGCCCATACATTATTGGAAATAATGGTACGCCAACATCAAAGGATTACGTCACATATGTATTTTAATAAACATTAATAAAAAGTTTTGTGATTCCTTTATTTCAGATATTGTAATAACCACATGCAAGTACTGGGAATGCTGCCGAAGAAAGAAAGAAAACCGAAAAAGGAAAAAGATAATAAAAATGCCAATAAGGATTCTAAACTGTCGTTCGGTGATCGCGTCAAGACAAAGTTTAACGTAAAGAAAAGTGTTGGTGTTACGAAACCTAAAACGGAGAATATCAGTGTTAACATCGATGATCCGTATGATCCATACGCGTTCTCCGATCCTGTGGCGGAAACTCCATGCATGTTATCAAATAGTAGTAGTAGCAGCTTACCTAGTCCTAATACAGAAATCAAATCAGTGCCACCCAGTCCTGGCTACGTTCCACCTAAAACCCCATCAAATGAAGGCACGTCTACAATTGCAAAACTTTATCCGGAACTGGCTGAAAAGTTGGAAAAAATTAAACCGAAAACTGTGGAACCAAAAGTTAAAAGTCGGATGCGTAATTCTCACAATATGAAATTCAACAAATTACAGACTAAAATTGCTCAAAATAGAATCAAAGACAAATTACGTAAATCTCAAGAAAACAGCCATTTTAATGAAGGACTACAGACATTACAAGCTAGATCTAATCTAGAGTCTGTGACTAGTAGTACGGTGATTAATAATAGTAATACTAATAATAATATAAATTATAGTGATGAACAAGTCAGATTCCCGATGGTACCTCCACCATATAATGGTAGTGTGATACCACCACCTCTTGTAGGGGCTTCCCCTCACTTACTAGGTTATAAAACAACAGACCATCCAAATATACAACAGATACCACAAGAACCCCATGGATTACCTCCCCCTTATCCACGGGTCGCTTGCGGACAGCCGTATGGAGTACCCAGGACGTCTAACGTGGTCGTGCACAGTAATGATCAACACCCTGTGATTGCCGCGCCCGCGCTTACACCAGCGCCTGTCGTTCCATGTGCTGCGGCTCCGTATAACCTCCCACCTCCACCCCCGTATATACCGCCCAAGCCACCAAAAAGACCCCCCTCTCCTGTGTTACCAGTATTATGCGAGAAACCTCAGCGTTTAAAGTGTTTATTGTTAGAGAAAGAAGCAAAACGAAGACTTAAACGGGATAGTTCTGTGAAATATTATTCTTTCCATGCTCGAAGAAAAATTAGTAATCATATTCTTATTAATCAAGGTAGGGTATTTTATTTTAATAAGTATCATGTTTATAAATAGTACAGTACTAAAACAAACAGTATTTTGGCGGGCAGTTGTCACAGGGCAAATTGTCCTGGTCCTAATCTGTATCAATTAATCGTTTGTGGCTTTCATTTTAGGGGTGGACCTATGAGTCCAGTGACATGGTTTCGATTCTCGGCCTATACATGTACATGTATGTGACAATGAGTACCGATCCAACCTCATTAATTTTTTCCGGGGGGGGGGGGGGGGAATGGGGGTGCCTCCCACTGCCAAAGACCCCTATGTGAAACGAATTATTGAAATAAAATTGAACCATATGTTACTATTGTCAGTGCCGAAATGACCTAGTTTGTGTCGAGTAGACATAAACCCCATTTCTCTCTCTCCCTCTCTATTTGTAGTTTGTGAATTAAAACAAGGGATATAGATAAATAAACTGTAAAATATCCCAATTTTACTTTTTCCAGCCTGTCCAACCTCTTGGGTTTTCTCCGGGTCCTCCGGTTTCCCCCCACTGCTAAAGACCCCTACGCGCAACCGAATTATTGAATTAAAATTTAACCATATGTTAGTCCAGAAATGACCTAGTTTGTGTCGAGTGGACATTAAACCCCATTTCTTTCTTTCTTTATTTTCTTCAATCCAAGCTAATACACACCAGTTTAATTTTTTCTCCGTTTAACAAACAGCTTCACGGCGTTAAATTGGCACTTGCACGCGAGTTCTCGTTGCTTTCTACATCACTAGAATGATTCTTTTGGCAGGAAAAAAACGTGTCAAATGACCTAGTTTGTGTCGAGTAGACATAAACCCCATTTCTCTCTCTCTCTCTCTCTATTTGTAGTTTGTGAATTAAAACAAGGGATATAGATAAATAAACTGTAAAATATCCCAATTTTACTTTTTCCAGCCTGTCCAACCTCTTGGGTTTTCTCCGGGTCCTCCGGTTTCCCCCCACTGCTAAAGACCCCTACGCGCAACCGAATTATTGAAATAAAATTTAACCATATGTTAGTCCAGAAATGACCTAGTTTGTGTCGAGTGGACATTTCTTTCTTTCTTTATTTTCTTCAATCCAAGCTAATACACACCAGTTTAATTTTTTCTCCGTTTAACAAACAGCTTCACGGCGTTAAATTGGCACTTGCACGCGAGTTCTCGTTGCTTTCTACATCACTAGAATGATTCTTTTGGCAGGAAAAAAACGTGTCATATGGGCAAATAACAATAACATGGAGACCGTACTTGTATTGCATACAGGTGTCAATGCATTGACGTTACAAACTATGCTTTCATTTTCTGCCGTATAAACGAACGATATTTCAACATCACGAACTATCGTTAATTTTCTGCAATATACACGAAGACACATACATGTAAGTTTGGAGGAATATTACTGACATTGATTTGAAGCAAGTACGGTCGGTCACTTTCATTCTATCGTGTTACAAAAACACGTAATTTTGTAGGAATGTTAGGCTGACCTTAAAAATATCTTTGTTTCACCAAACCCGACCAAACACTCGAGGAGAAGGGTCGGTAGGTCGGGTTTTTTTTCAGATTTTTTTTTTTAAGAGCTAATTTGACAGCTTGATAATTTTCCGGGTGCAAACATTCGTCTTCTTTTATTGGCAAACAAATCAATGACATCGGGATTTTTCTTGATGCACGACTCGCACACAAATTGCGACAAACTCACGTTTGAAACTCCCTCAACACGTTTTTAACGATCGTGCGGGTTGTGCCTTTATTTTTCTCGAAAACGGATATTGAAAATATCGTCGTCATGTTTAAAACGACGCCCCACAGACATAGAGGCAGAATCATTTCGTGGGAATGGACGTGCTTTCGTCTGCAACCATTTTGTTGAGAAGCGACACCTATGACGCTTTCGTCTTGATCAACCAGTTTCAATAATGAATCAAACCATAGCCATAGTAAAGGGAAATAACTCTCGTGATATATTTCAGGTTGACACACAAAATAAAATAAAAAGATCGCGGAAAAGTGCAATAAAATAATTTAAGTCGGGGGTGGTTTTAGTTAGTCGGTCGCGTTAGGCGAAACAAAGATATTTTTAAGGTCAGCCTTACTGACATAAATTTGAATACCGTACGGGAATTAAATATGAAAAATAGCAAGATGCACATATTTTTTTGTATTCAGAACACATGCTACATGTACATTTATATAACATAAAAATATTTGTAGTTGAAGTCGATTAGAGGGAATGGAAGCTTTTTGACGTTATTTCCTGAAGCTGATAGAAACGACTTCTTGCAACCCTAACTAACCCTAACTAAAAATGTCTGACAGGCAAAATTATAGCATCCCCGATATTCATACATGCATGTACATGTACTATTTAACTATGACTACATGTACAATGTGTGCAAGGGAGGAGAATTTTGTGCAGACTTCAGCATTCCCACCTACTCTTATATTTATCAAGTTTTATTTTACATGCAGATGAATATTAAAGCTTATACACATGTACATGTACATGTACCTTGTCCAACTACGGACTAGTCACTAGTGGAAATTAATGTCGGGCTAGTGTCCAACAGTAGACTACTAGCCCTGGGCTAGTGGATTAAAAAAAAGATTTTTTACACCCCCTGAATTCCAGTAATAATAAGCTGATTATTATATTCAGGCACTGGTATGGGGATTTAAAGAATAGGGAAATTTAAATCCTTCCTTTGCCCTGAAAACAATTATTCCACACATAGTCCTTTAGATAACCATTCTTACATATTATACATGTACATGAACCTGTGAATTTTCTGGTCGATTTACATGTATTAGTGTAAAATAAAATCCCTCGTTCAGTGGCAAAATTCTTGTACAGTAAGTACATGTACCTGAATGCATGCATAAATCACATGTACATGTATGTACAAATGTACATGTTGAGGTTTCTCTGTACCGGTATTTTTGTTTACTATGTGCAGAATATAGTCTAGAATATTCCACCAGATGTGCATGTACAAGTATCATAATCATTCATTTTATATTGGTTTTATTTTAATCAGTACCGCTAATAGACCTATGTGTATACATGGCTCACATACATTTAGACCTATATTTTACATGCGCTTGTGAAATTATATTCAAGGGGTGCAAAGTACATTCAGCAATTTGGGTTCAAGAATATATAGTTTAGTACCAGTCTCGAACCTCTTACTCATTAGTTGGTTTTGTTTTGGCAGACTTTTTCTCTCACATGATACATGTATCACTTTCTGTCAGACGTGATTAACTAAAATTTGATGTTATGACCAAGTAGACTATGAATCTACAATGTAGGCTACATGTAGATGTACATGTACATGAACTGATGGGGGGTTGGATGGCCGAATGGTTAACTAAAATTTGATGTTATGACCAAGTAGACTGAATCTACAATGTAGGCTACATGTAGATGTACATGAACTGATGGGGGGTTGGATGGCCGAATGGTTAACTAAAATTTGATGTTATGACCAAGTAGACTATGAATCTACAATGTAGGCTACATGTATATGTACATGTACATGAACTGATGGGGGGTTGGATGGCCGAATGGTTAGCACGCGCACGCTGTATCATACAGTCTGTCATTGAGTCAACTGGCAGGGTTTCGATTCCCTGGTTGTACGTGACAAGGACTCTGAAGGAGTAGGGTGGCCTGTCCAACCTCGTGCTATTTCTCCAGGTCCTCCGGTTTCCTCCTACTGCTAAAGACCCCTACGCGCAAGCGAATGATTGAAATAAAATAAAACCATGTGTTAGTCCCGAAATGACCTAGTTTGTGTCGGGTAGACGTTATACACTTAAACCCCATTTCTCTCCCTTTCACATGAACTGATCCTATGTGTAATTCAGCAATATTTTATAGTCATTGTTTTTTAAGGCAAGCGATCGTTATCGAGCGCCTGTCGCTCACCTGAATGTCGACTGCAGGGAGTTTTTTTTTCCCTTCCCTCAAAATTGAAAATTGTTCTCCTTTACAAAGTCCTTGGGGGTTTATTATCATTTTTGAAACTAGGAATGACTCCATTACATGCAGTTATTGATCTTCAGAACCATTTCCCATCACATACATGTAACTAATCACTCTTCTTGATATCAGATCACTCTCCTTAATTTCTAAATCACTCTTCTTATCGAAACTGGGAGAGCTTTTTTACGGGAGCTATTTTGTTAATTTGTTGATTGAGGGAGTTTTTTTCGGCTCTCCTCAGAAATACAAAAAACAACTGTTTTATATGAATTGTGAATCCTATTAGCGGATAAAAACGCAATAAAAACAGATTGAATGCTACAATGTAGTGCTGTTATCATGCACGAGTTAACGATACAATTATACTTTCTATACATCAATGCATCCAATGGAAAGAAAAAAAGAAAAATTTTAATTAAAATCTGGTCATTCAGAGTCCCTAAAATATGTTTTGGTGGCAAATGACAGTTGTTTTTTTTCCCCGTTGACGAGTGAACATCGACAAACGTAGCGAAAAGTTATCTAGAATTGTGATGATCATCTGGTACATGTACATTGTACCTATTTCTATCATTGTCATGTTGTTAATACCTAAGTTCTCCCTATATTACACAGTTAGTACATTGTACTTGCCCCTAAATACATGAAAACCATGCTTTTTTGATAGAATAAAAAAATAATTCTTGTAATTTTTTTACAAAGAGGGACAAATATTATTGAATGCATATTAAAGGTACATGTAGGCTAATACCTTGAACGAATTGATGTTGGAAATTTGTAGCAAGGAATTCTCGTTCCTATTGCAAGTTTCGGTGACAGGCAAATTTACCAACATGTATACATCAATATGAGATTCTACGTTTGCTCTCGATACATCTATGCATACAATTTTACTTGATATCAGCACTACATAGTTATGCCTAGTCTGGGTCACCCAGAACCTCCTAGTCTTCAACGTACGGCGTCTGGGACCATTGTTAATATTGTGACGAAAAGTTCCATTGTCCATGCATAACTGGGGGGGTTGTTTTTTTTTGTGGTTGATTATCCAGTATCTTTGACCAAGTCAAGTAACTAAGAGTTGGACCCCTTCCCTCAATAAATCCCATAATTCTTGCATTATTATAAACAAACATGAATCATGACGACGAATTAGGATTAATTATATAAAAAACATATAGATACATGTATGGCCCATGAAGAGAGAAATTTTCCAAAAAAAAATTAAGAGTGTTGGATATTGAAATGGCAGTGCAATCAAATGGATTTTCTGAAACGGCATTCTTAAATTGATTTCATGGGCGTCGACATCTTGTTTTAGGACTACATGAAGTTGCCTCCCTTAGACGTTGTTTATGATGTTGTAAAAGACCAGATAATCTAGGCAATGAACTATTATTCTCATCTGGATGATAGAGACTAAGTTATGTCCATCTACTATGTTATTGTCTAACTGATCATTGTGGGTTATGTATATCTTTCAGGTATCTGTAGTTCCGATGAAGAGAGTGAAGACGAGGATGTTGACATGTTACCATGGCAACCAAACTGGTTCTGTCCGTCATCAGATGATGATAATAACGATGAGGATGAACCAGATGAGGAGTAAGTATACAAACATATATCCGTTGATACAATGAGAAGTCATATCAGGTGTTCTAAATACAATCAGCACACACTGCCTTGTTCATGAGGTCTGTCATTGAGTGGGGGGTTGGATGGCCGAATGGTTAGCACGTGCGTGCTGTATCATAAGGCCTGTCATTAAGTCAACTGGTTTGGTTTCGAATCCCCAGTTGTACGTGACAAGGAGTAGGGTCGCTTGTCCAACCTCGTGGGTTTTCTCCGGGACCTCCGGTTTCCTCCCACTGCTAAAACTTAGGACCCCTACAAGTAAATTATTGATATAAAATTGCATCATATGTTAGTCCCCAAATTACATGTACCTACATGTAGGTTTGTTTCAAGTGGACATTAAACCCCATATCTCTCTCTCTATTTTAATGCTAAATGTTGTTTTTGTGGATTTTTTTTTTCAGTTTCTCTGATTTACGTACGACAAAGTTAGCGTTACGATCTAGGTTTGTTTCGTGCGGACATTAAATATCTCTTTATTTTAATGCTAAATGTTGTTTTTGTGGGTTTTTTTTCAGTTTCTCTGATTTACGTACAACAAAGTTAGCGCTGTTACGATCTAGGTTAAGACGTCAGTGTCATCAGTGTCGTACTGCGACTAGAGGTAACACAACCGTCAAGAAATCTAGCAATCTGGAAGTTTTAGCTTTAATTAAAGCCGCTAAAGAAGAACCAAGAGCGTCTGTGAGGTGTATACAGGAAATTCTCAGGAAACCCAGAAAAGCGATTGATAAGTGAGTTTTCCCATAATACAATGTTCTCCAATCTGATTAAAACACAGATCCTATTTCGTTCAAAATTTCGTTTTACTTGTCTTTACTACACTAGGATCTGGAAGAGTTGTTATATAACACGCGTTCTAGTTTATGTGAGGGAATAGTCAATGAAACTGTCTTGACTTAAATGGGTTGTTGGGTGGTTGAATGGTCTAGTAGATTGTTTTAGATCATAAGGTCTGTCATTGAGTCACATGACCCTGTTCAATCCCAAGCTTGTACATGACGTGAAGTAGGGATACATGTACCTGCACAACTTTATGGGGTTTCTACTGACCCCTATGCACAATCAAATTATTGAAGACACAAAATGTATGCCATATGTTAAACTCCATTTGTCTCTCTTGAAAAGACTTATATAAACACAACCTCCACTACCGGACCTCAATAGCCTTGTGTGCCAGGGAAGTAGGGGGATCACATATTTGATGTATGTAGCCTAGGCTGACCTTAAGAATATCTTTGTTTCACCAAACCCGACCCACAATCGAGGAGAAGGGTCGGTAGGTCGGTTTTTTTTTAAGAGCTAATTTGACAGCTTGATAATTTTCCGGGTGCAAACATTCGTCTTCTTTTATTGGCAAACAAATCAATGACATCGGGATTTTTCTTGATCTTTGATGCACGACTCGCACACAAATTGCAACACACTCACGTTTAAAACTCCCTCAACACGTTTTTAACGATCGTGCGAGTTGTGCCTTTATTTTTCTCGAAAACGGATATTGAAAATATCGTCGTCATGTTTAAAACGACGCCTCACAGACATATAGGCAGAATCATTTCGTGAGAACGGACGTGCTTTCGTCTGCAACCATTTTGTTGAGAAGCGACACCTATGACGCTTTTGTCTTGATCAACCAGTTTCAATAATGAATCAAACCCAATTACCCCTAAGTATAGCCATAGTAAAGGGAAATAACTCTCGTGATATATTTCAGGTTGACACACAAAATAAAATAAAAAGATTGCGGAAAAGTGCAATAAAATAATTTAAGTCGGGGGTGGTTTTAGTTAGTCGGTCGCGATAGGCGAAACAAAGATATTTTTAAGGTCAGCCCTATAATAATTGTGAGGGGTTGGTGGATGGCCAAATGGTTAGCATGTGCTCATTGTATCAGAGGGTCTGTCATTGAGTCAACTGGCATCGTTTTGACTCCTCGGTTGTACGTGACAAGGAGTAGGGTCGCCTGTCCAACCTCATGGGTTTTCTCTGGGTCCTCCTGTTTCCTTCCACTGCCAAAGACCCCTGCATGCAAGCAAATTATTGAAATAAAATTGAACCATATGTTGGTCCCGAAATGACCTAGTTTGTGTTGAGTTGACATCAAACCCCATTTCCATCTCTCTCTCAAAATAATTGTGTATATTTTCAGGTATAAAATGCGAGGTTTGGAGAAGAATAGATGTTGTCATAAAAATGATTCTGATGTGCAATGTTGTAATAATGTTTTACCCTATACTAATCATTGTTTAAAACGTATCCTTTACAAACAAATATATAGACAATCTGAATATAGCAATATATAGACAATCTGGATATAGTAATATATAGACCATCTGAATATAATAATATAGACAGTCTGAATATAGAATTAGACAATCTGAATAAAGAATTACATAGACAATCTTAATATAGAAATATATAGACAATCTGAATATAGTAATATATAGACCATCTGCATATATAAATATATAGACAATCTGAATATAGAAATGTATAGACAATCTGGATATAGAAATGTATAGACAATCTGGATATAGAGATACATGTATATAGACAATCTGAATATAGTAATATATAGACAATCTGAATATAGAAATATATAGACAATCTAAATATAGAAATATACAATCTGAATATAGAAATATACAATCTGAATATAGAAATATATAGACAATCTGAATATAGACTATTTGAAAATATTACAGAACAGGGTTAAAGATACGAAAAGCGTATGGGTAAGACGCTGGCTCGCTAGCCTGGGGGTCGCTTGTTCGATCCCTGCATTGGCCGAGAAAGTTATCAGGATTTTCTGATGTGGTTTCTCTTCGTCAGTGATGCAGGATGGAGGGCCTGACAAGGAGATCAAGTGGACACATTGGCGTGTACATAAAAGATCCCTTGGCAGTTGGAATTCAATATAAGAGTAGGCCATAGTGCCGCTGCCTGGGCAAAATTTCTCTCACAGTGCACTGTATGGTGTATGCCCATCTTCATTAACCCAGTCGGAGCAGAACAGTAGGATGTTAAAGCCCATTTCATTTAATTATAATGTTAGAATGAGAATTGTATAATCTTTAACCATTTATTCTAGATATCATGTATAATGTAGATCAACAGTTATTTGATTATTGTACGGCTAAATTTGCTGACAATACACAATGTTGTGTACCAATATTTGATATAAAACATGAATTACCTCTATGTCATGAACACGGTGCTAAAGCTGTAAGTTATTTTATTTATTATTTCTCTTACAACCGAAGGTGGGTGGGAACTGGAGCCTTCTCAGGTGTTAAATTGTTTGAATGGTAATATACAGGTGACAATTCTATGGAATAAAGTTACTGCTTTTTACTGAGCATTACTTTGTAAAGGCTATAAAAGCCTAGATGAAACGTCGCTCAGTAATAAGCAGTAATTGTATTCCATAGAATTGTCACCTGTATATTCTCAGGTGTTGTTGGGGTGGGTCAAGGGGAGCAGTTGCTGCACACATATATGTCCGAAGAGAGTTTTTTCGATGAAAAGGGATCACATGACAAGGAGTAAGGTCGCCTGTCCAACCTTGTGGGTTTTCTCAGGTTCCTCCCACTGCTAAAGACCCCTAGGCGTAAGTAAATTATTGAGATAAAATTGAATCATATGTTGGTCCCGAAATTACCTAGTTTGTGTTGAGTGGACGTTAAACCCCATTTCTCTCTTCTCTCTCTGTTAAACAAACAAAAACAAGAAAAATATTTTGGGCCAGTTTGTCCCATGTAAAAAATATTATCGAGAATATACTAATGTCCAAAAGAAAGTATACACTGTGCATTTTGTGCTGCATCAACCAAAGTCGTTTTTCCATGGTATACGGTATTTGGGTAGAATGTCACTTTGTTTCACATTTTTATTTTGCTTAGAAATGTTGAGTTTGGACGCAAGAGACAAACTTAGTAATGCTTTATCAAATGTTTCTAATCTAAACAAAACTTAGTCATTCTTTTAGTGTGTATACTTTGGACATCAGTATATGATATGCCTGTGCACACAATATCTCTTGGCAGTTAAAATTCTGAGAAAAGAGTAGGTAGCAGAAAATGACATTTTCACGCTAAAGAGTCTTCTCTCAGACAAAAGAAACTACAAAATCACCATATTGATGTGAATAAACAGGCCAAGTATTAGGTTAACAGGGACTTGTAATAGAAATTGTTTTTAACGTTGAATTAAAAACAAATTATTATTTTATGATTTTTATTAGTTCAATATTTTATGATTTTTTTACTGCAGGATAATTATCAGAAGATCCAGGTCGCGGAGGTGAGAAAACGACCAAGAAAGAAAACAAAGCCCCCAGCTTTATCACGTCCCCCTAAAAAGGGCAAAAAGAAAAAGAAGGGAAGAGCAGTCCGTCCACAGAAACCTATTCCCCCATCTTCACCAATTGGAGATACAAGTACGTTATTCATCAATCTGGTTAAAACACAGATCCTATTTCGTTTTGTTTTTATAGTTCAAAATTTCGTTTTACTTGTCTTAACTACTCTTGGATCTGGAAGAGTTGTTATTTAACTCGTGTTCTGAATGGTGTCAGGGATAAACCAAGGAAATGGTCTGTTACGGCGAGCTTTAGGCGTGTTTTGCACGGAACTGTGGGTAATCCACTAGTAACATCAATGCTGATTGGTTAATCAAATGTCTGACATCATAGGGTCATAAGTCGGTCTTTTGACCCCTGACGTGACCTATCGCAATAACTTGTCAGATCTTCATGTAGTGTAGGCCACCGAAAGAATTAAAAAACGAAACGAAATATAGATCTGTATCTTAATCAGATTGGTTATTCATTTTATACTTAAATTTATTTGGTATTAATATTTGATGTTTTTCATTTTAAACATGAATTCATTTGGTATTCTAGGGGGTGGTCTGAATCCTAGCAAATTTATGAAATGATCATTAGATAGTTTGGAAGCCACGGTGGCACAGTGAGTAAACTGCTGGCTCGCTAGCCTGGAGGTCTCGGTTTCGCTCCCAATGTCAGTAGTGCACGACGAAGGGCCTGACAACGTACAAGGTATAAGTGTGGGCCATATCGCCGCTGTCCAGGCAAAATTTCTCTCATAGCACACTGTATGGCGTATGCCTGTCTTCATTAGCCCAGTAGCTGCAGAACAGTAGGACGTTAAACCCCTTTTCATTTCATTCGATAGTTGGCACATACACACATAAATGATTTAAAACATTGGGAATACTCGATTGAACATTCCAGAATTAAATTTTCTCAATTCCAAAAATAGTGTCAATCAAATGAGTTAAAGGGAGAATTTCAGAGTACAATGCATGTGCCAACTGCATAAAAAAGTATCTCAACCAATCATGACAACTGAAACGTATTTGTTACTTAAAAGATGTCACGATTCTACTCGCACTACCTCAGCTGCCAGACTGTGATAGGGCTGAATTCCATATCACTTGATTGCAATTCTGTCATTTCGGGACGTTCCGAACTGACGATCTGGCACCCCCAATATCACAATAAATATGGATTTATTGTAGCTCCATCTACCGATCTACTAAAAGGGAGATAACTCCACTAGACTTGTGATTAAAATGAACCATGAAATGGTATAGGAATGTTTTTTTTATATGCTTAACAACATTCCCTTTGTTCTTTCAGTTTAGAAATTTAACTTATTGACTTTTAATTACAGCTATGCCTGAAACAGAATTAGATGTTACCATGGTTACTG